AAAGGCCCGCGCTGGGGCGAGAACGCCATCCTGAACGACGGAGGCCAAACACCAATCCGAAAATGAGGCCCACGCTGCAGCGGGAGCACGATTCGGAACGATTCGGGAGCAGAAATGAAGCCGGCGCCTCAGCGAGAACAGCATTTTGAAAAAAAACGCAGGCGAAAACCCGTTTCCCGGGAATCCTGTGTGTAAAAAACAGTACGCGGGGGGGGGGGTCGGATATCTTCGGGGCGCCATCAGGGGAAGTGGGAGAGTATTTTCATAGAGGAGGGAGGAGTGAGGAGGGAGGAGGAGGAGGAGGAGGAGGAGGAGGAGGAGGAGGGGGGGAGGAGGAGGAGGAGGAAGGAGGAGCAGGGGGAGGAGGAGGAGGAGCAGGAGGAGGAGGAGGAACGGAAGGAGGAGGAGGAGGAGGGGAGGAGAGGAGGAGAGAACCAGGGGGGAGGAGGAGGAAGCGTAGCAGGAGGAGGAGGACGGGCAGGAGGAGGAGGAGGAGGAGGAGGAGGAGGAGGGGAGGGGAGGGGAGGCGAAGACCAGGAGCAACAGCCATGCTGCAGATAGTCGGTGGAAGAGGAGATGGGCGAGAGAAGGGACGAGGACGTGGAGGACACGAGGGAGGGGGAAAGAAGGGAGGGGAGAACGAGGGAGGAGGAGGAGGAGGAGGAGGAGGAGGAGGAGGAGGAGGAGGAGGAGGGAGGTGGTGGAGGAGGAGGAGGAGGAGAAGGAGATGGAGGAGGAGGGGAGGAGGGGAACAACGGGGAAGGGGGAGAGGAGAAGATAGAGGACGACGAAGACGACGACGACGAGGACGAGGACGAGGATGAAGGACGTATCCCCAGGAGGAGAACGAGGAGGGAAGAACGAGGAGAAGACGAAGGCGAGGAGGAAGAGTAGGATAATGATGAGTAATACTGATGCTCGAACTAACAACACATTAAAGGGAAGGAGGAAGGAGGAGAAGATGCAGGCCGCAAGCACGCTCTGGCCTGGCTAAGACCAGGTGGCGGAGAGCACGAGGGGCGGAGGAGGAACAAGGAGTAGGGGGGAGGAGTGAGGAGCAGAGGTCCGAAAGGGAGGGAGAAGGCAGGAATGGAGAGAAGGAGAGATGAGGGGAGGAAGGAGGAGAACGAGGGAGAGAAGGATACGTAGGGAGCGATGGAGGAAGAGGCTGCGCCTACTCCTCCGCCTTTTGCGGGCACTGGCTAAAACTCGTTCAGAAACAGTCAGTAGGCCCCTCTCAGTTCCAAAATTGATGTACCGTACACTTGAAATGGCCGTCGGATCTGCACGAAATTACGGTTCTACCAGCAGTCGACTACTCATCTGCAGATATGGCCTTTCTTTCAACGTTCGGGTCAATCAAGTCTGTCGTCGATGTCCATACACGAATCCTGATCAGGTCTTCGCCCGAGATCGATGGTTGACGACCCTGAGCACCCCCCAAAACAAATCGGCATGGCGACGAAGTATCCTCCTCCTCCTCCTCCTCCTCCTCCTCCTCCTCCTCCTCCTCCTCCTCCTCCTCCCCCTCCCCCTCCACCTCCATCATGATGAGCATCAGCATCATCATCACCACCACATCATCATCGCCATCATCCTCATCAGCATCATCATCATCATCATCATCACCAGCATCAGCATCATCAGCATCAGCAGCATCATCATACTCATCATCAGCAGCATCATCAGCATCAGCATCAGCATCAGCATCATCATCATCATCATCATCATCATCATCATCATCATCAGCAGCAGCAGCAGCATCTGTGGCACCGCCCACTCGGCGGGCATGGCGAAAGCCGACGACTGCTAAAGCGAACGAACATGCCTCGGTAGAAAAGGCAACCAAGAAGGAGGGGAGGGAAGACACGAGGAAGGCCATCCACATCGAGCCCAGTGGCTCCGCAGCGCGCCGCGCGCCGTCGCCCGGGGATGCGACTCAACCCCACACTCCCTGCTCCGACGAGGGAGAGCAGGCCAAACTCAGCTTTGCCGAGTTCGGCCTGACCGAGATCAGCCAGCCGAGTTCAGCCTGGGAGAGCTCAGCCTGGGCGAGTTCAGCCTTGTCGAGTGATTCTTGTACGAGCTTCGTTACTGCCCTCCTCTCCCCCTCACCCCTTCTCGGGGATAGGCTAGAGGTGCCCCTGGCCCAAGATGCTCCCAGCTGCTTGCTCCATCTTGGAGCACCTGGGGCCTCTGGGCCCCGTGAGGGGTGCTCTGGAAGCCGTGGGGGCCTCCATGGAAATCCTGGGGGCACCGTGGGCCAGGGGCACGTCTAGCAACATCCCCCCTCCCCCCCGAAGGGCAGGCGGGACTGGCATGCGGGAGGGGACATCGACCTGGAATTGGCGATACATCGCCGGTGGATCAGCCACGAAGGCCCCCGGTAGTGAACCCGCACCATCCTGGGCAGGCAGGGGCTCTCGGGCCCCTTTCGGCGATCGATGGGCGATTGGGGTTCGATGTACATGCATCCCACCTATGCCTATCCCGCCTCATCGGTGCCCCCGACCAAGACCCCCGACGTCATGAATTGTTTATAACGTCGACCCCCAAAGTCTCGACCCATTCCCTGGGACCGGTTTTCCATCGCCAGTCGTTTTTTGACGGTCCCGAAGGCCGGTGATGGCCCCCAAAGGCCGAAAACAGCGAAAGACCTCCCGTCGTGATTTTTGTCATGACTCGAGGGGGTCTGGGCCTATCGTTGCCCACCATCCCCTCCCCCCTCCTCCCCCGAAGGGCAGGCGGCACGCCGGGGCCGCCCCGTCTCCTCGGCCTGGTCGGTCGGGCCCTCCCGCCGGGCCACCTCGTGGAAGTGCCCGGTGTGGAAGGAGAGCATGCTGAGGTCAGGGGCGCCGCCCTGGGGAGGATCGGGGGGACGAACACGTAGGACAACAAAGGGCCCCCTCCCGCACCCATCCTCCCCATCCTCCCTCCTCCTCCTCCTTCTCCTCCTCCTCCTCCTCCTCCTCACTCTCCTCCTCCTCCCCCTCCTCCTCCTCCTCCTCCGCCTCCTCCTCCTCCCGCATTCATTCTCCTTATAAACAATTTCTCCGTGTCGCACCATGAGGCCAGATTATAGGGCGGGCCGGGCCTTTCGCCTGAGACGACTTCCTCACCATTTGTGACCCTGAAGCTTAAAAATTGGGGACAGCTTCACAGATGGAGGGCGGGTGGTTTTCAAAATGTGGCTCTCGCTTTAGCGCCGCGGGATCTATTTCCTCGCCTGCCCCCCCCCCCCCCCCCCGCATCCTCCAAGACCAGCCGATTTCGCGCACCGCGCCGCGAGAATCGCACCCCTGAGGTCGGCTCGCGCCTCTCCGACGTCATGAATTTTCCGCGACGTGCGACCTCTGGAGCTCCCAGACCCCTTGCTTGGCTACACGTGTGGGGTCAGGGGGGGCGCGGGAGGGGTGCGGACCCAAGCGCGCCAACCGCTGCTGTCGCATCCATCCCATTCAGCCTTCGCTCTGGTTCAGGGATCTACTGGCCCAGGTCAATGCACACCCGGGTCAGTCGGGCTTTGCAGGATCCCTGCAAGGTCCTGCGCGGAAGCCCGGGCCACGAGTTCCCTGGCTCCACAAGATCCTGCAAGATCCTGCGCACTGGCTGGCCCCCGCCTGCATTGACCCCCGTCTCTTGCATCTCGACCCGTCCTTCACGTACCTCGGTCCTCCACAAACGCCTCTCTGCCCTGCCCTGTGCGGTCTCGCGCGTCCGGCGGCCGAAGGGAGCGGGGGGGCGGGGGCGGGCATCAGACATCCATCAGCCCGATCAACCTCGAGGCGTGGGCCCCCAGCACAGCGAAGGCAGAACTGGGACAACGTCGAATCGGGATGAATCGGGAATCTCTGAGATCCAACGGTTCGGACGGATGTCTTGGGCGCCACAACTTCCTCGGAACGCTCCGAACACGCTCTGGAGCGATTTTGTCCCGAGCCTAGGCTCCATTTACGACCACTTCTCCTGGGGCCGGTCGTTCCTCTCCCGAGCCGTTTCCTGTCGGCCCCGGGGGGCCCGAGACTTGCCCCAGGTGGTCGGCTATACGTAAGAGTGACTCTGGGCAAGAGTGACCTTGGGTGCGCGACATAACTGGGGTCGCGGGGTGGCCAAACCCGGGCGCGCAAGTCGCAGCTACCGCTTCGCGTTCAGCGATCGGGGCACCCCGTTGGGTCCGCACCAAGGCCACTCTGGCGAAAGGTCACTCTTACGCGTACAGCCGAACATGTGATAAGGAAAACCATGATTTAAGGAATCTGGGCCAGCTTTCCCGAGGTTCCTTAAGACAAGCCTTGGCCAATTCGCGTCAAAGAGGGGCGAACGTGCTCCAGAAACTTGGCCAGCTGTCCAGCAAGTTGGCTAAGAAACGCTGGCCTAGCTTTTTCAGGAGAGGGTTCTTAATCAGACGCTCGACTGCACGGTGGGGTCATTGGACAATGAACCCTTAGATAAGGAATCCAGGGTCTGGAAAGTGGTATGTTTCAATCGTGGGTCGGCCATGCATACTACCGCCGCCCTCGTCGGATAAGGAATCCTCCAGGGTCTGCAGCCTTCTGGGCGCATTCCTGAACGAACGCCCACACCGTAGTCGAGAGGGCCCCAGGATCGGCTACACGCAAGAGTGACCTTAGGCAAGAGTGACCTTGAGTGCGCGGCCAAGGGGGGCCCTTTTGGGACAACGCCAGGCGCGAAAGCCGCTGCTGTCGCACTGCATCCAGCGATCGGGCGGGCCCCATCTGGCCTGCACCAAAGGTCACTCCGGCGAACGATCACTCTTACGTGTAGTCGACAGGAGCGGACGAAGAGCCGGCCACCTCCATCTCTCCTCGGGGATCTTATCAGGGCCAGTCAGGCCTTGCAGAATCCTGCAAGATCCTGCAACCAAACTCGGGTCAATGCGAAGGATCCTGCAAGACCCTGCAGGGTCCTGCACCCAAGCCCGACCCTGGCCCCGCAGGATCCAGCGCTCTGGCTCACCCCCGTTTGCATTGACCCCCATCTCACAGCCCCCGATTTCTCCGAGGCGCCAGGCCTCCCGGGGGGGGGAGGGGCGCCCGCGCGCGCCCGTGCCCGCGGCGGGCGGCGGTCAGGCGACGCGCCCCAGCCAAGGGGCCGCGGGGACGCTCCCGAGGAGAAGCGCGGCTGCGGCCCAGGGCGAGGCCGCGCCGCGTCTCGACCTCCACGTCCTTTGGAAGGGTCGTCGTCGTCGTCGTGGTCTTCGTCGTCGTCGTCGTCGTCGTCGTCGTCGTCGTCGTCGTCCGCGTTGCAGTCGTACAGTCATCGTCGTCGTCGCCGCGCGGGCAGCGTCGCTTTCAGGAGCAGGCGGCGGGGGGAGGACAGGAAAAATGGAGGGGAGGTGGAGGGGCTCCCCGGACGCATTGAAATGCAGTGTAGAGCAGTTGCGGTTTGTGTGTTTGCGTCTGTCTGTTAGCGCGGGGCCTGTAAAGGCAGAAAGAAACCACAAGGGGCCCAGGCCCCACTGAGGGGCCGAGGCCCGAAGGGGCCATCCCAGGACAGGGGCGGGCCACAGGGGATCCCGAGAGCCCAGACGAGCCGCAAAGGGCTGCCACCAGGGCACCTCGGCCCCTAGGCGCCACACGGCCAGTCAGCTCGCGCCCCCGTCAAGGGGCATCAGCGCGAAGCGCTGGAATATATACAACTGTGCAAACACGCGACGGGCGAAGCCCCAAACATGCTAGCACGCCCCAAGCGGCACGGCGGGGCAGGCGAGGCGCGGGAACCCACACGCCCGCACGCAGAGGCCCGCGGCCACTAGGAGTCCAAAATTGCCCTGGCGCTCGAGACGGCCTCGACGGCCTCCTCCGCCCAGCCAGGGCTCTCCTCGCGAGGCCGTCCATCCAGAGGTCTCCGCACATACGACATCAAACCTGAAACGGTCCTGCTGGTGCGACTCCGAGAGGTGGTCTGGCTCCCAACGGGCGTAGCACGGCTGCCCCAGGCGAGACCCCAGCCGCAGGGCCAGCGGGAGCAGCGCGATGGGCCGCGTCCCTCCGTCGGCTTGGGAATGACAGCCGCGAGCGCCACCTGCCCCTGAACGAAGAAGGCTCGTCCTCGAACGCCACCACGAAGACTGACCAGCGAAGCGGCAGCGCCTCTGGCAGCAGGAGGAGCTGGCGGGGGAGCAGGTAGACGCAGCCCGACCCCACATACGGGCCGAAGCGCCTGCACGCCTGCTGCAGGTCCTCCAGGGTGATGGGCGGCAGCGTCGAAGAGCCAACATCCCACCTGTGGGCCCCGCCCCTGCGGGAGAGGCCCTCCTAGAGCCAGAGCCGCTGCAACGTGCGCGTGGGCTGGTCCACGGCGCCCATGCCGACGAGCGGCCTCCCCTCGTCGGCGTCGTTGACCTCAGGCGTGGGAGCCGCCTTGGAGAGGCGGTGGGCCAGGCGGTCGGCTCGACTCGCCTCACGGCGCAGTGTCATCACGCTGCGTGCGCATGAAAGGCTCGCGCAGAGGAGGTGCCCGCAGCGGAGGCTACCAGCCGGCGTGGCCGAGGCGGGATGGGTGTTCAGGGGGAGGGGGAAGAGTTTCAGCAGGAGGATCACGGGAGCGGAGGAGGAGAGAGGAGAGGGTGGCGTGGCGACGAGAAGGTCCAGAGGATAGCGGGAGAGGAGGTGGAAAGGGAGGGGAGGGCGGAAGGAGGAGTGAGGGGGGACGAGCAGCACGAGGACGAGGAGGAGCCCCGCGTCTCGACCTCCTCAGCTAGCGTCGCTCGTCGTCCTCCTACCCCCCGTCTCCCCCCCTCCCCTCTTTCCTTTCGCCTCCTCCTCATCATCCCTGGAGGCCCTCAGGGGTCTCCGAAGGCAGGAGAACAACCAGACGCACACGCACACAGACACACAGACACACAGACACACAGACACACGCTCTCCTGGTCGCAAGCGGACGGGGAGAAGAGCCTGACGGCCGTCCAGAGCTGCACGGCAACGCAGCGGGCTGACAGCCTGGGCACAACTTCGCATAGGGGGAAACGGGTCCTGAGGGAAACGGGTCCTGGACCCTGGGGCCTTCCCCAGGACCACATGTTCATCTCGAGTCGGTTTCTGGCGGTCCCGGGACCCTTCGTGGGCCACAGGAATTCAAAAACAAGGAAGCACCTAAGGACCCGCTGCCCTCACGACCCGTTCCCCCCATGGCGAAAAGCGAAGGCGCAGAGGGAAAAGGACGCCAGCCCCTCACGGGGCAGCTGCGGGGTGCGGCGGGTAGCGGCGGGCAGCGGCGCCAAACGGGCACTGGCGGGGTGGGCCCAACACACACACAAACACAAACACAAACACAATCACAAAAACACTCACAAAACACAATTACTTACTGCGTGGAGCTCCCCATATGTGCATCTCATGTTTTATGTCATGCCGTGGTGAGCGTCTGTTCATGAGCGGTCGACTACAATAGCGCGTCCACGTGGGCGACAGGGCCGACGAAGACGAGTGACCCCTAATGCGAGTGATTGCGTATGAGTCAGAGTGAGCTTTGAGTATGGTTGAATGCGAGCCTCTTCCTCTTCATCCCCCCTCCTCAGCTGCCAGGCCTTCCCCTTTTCAGCCCGTGGTAGCTTTGGAGCTTCCCACATGTGCATATGTTGTAGGATAGTTGGCAGTGGGATATGTAAGACGAGCGTTTAGCCACACAAGGCCATAAGTGCATGTCATGTTGGAGGATAGTGCCACGGTGAGCATTTCCAACGATCCCCGCACACAACCACCGCCCCCCCTCGCAGTCACCCCCTATGAATACATATATATATATATATATATATGTATGTATATAAATATATACATATATGTCCTGGACTTCGGAACAAATGTTCTGCTCGCGTCAAGGACCTTCGAGCAAACCGCCCTCCTCCTCCTCCTCCTCCTCCTCCTCCTCCTGTTCCTCCGCCCCCTCCCTTCTCCTGCTCCTGCTCCTCCTCCTCATCCTCCTGCTCCCCCTCCCCCTCCGCACCCCATGCCCTTCCTCACGATCCCCCGCCTCCTCCTCCTCCTCCTGTTCCTCCTCCTCATCCTCGTTCCTGTCATTTCCCTCCCTGTTGAGCCCAGAAACAAGCGAACCGCCTGAGACATCCCCACAATATGGCCGCGAACGTGCCCGTGCAACCACCCCTGGCGGCTCCCCATAGGGGTGCTGCAACCAGCGCCCCGCCTGAGACATCCTCACAATCTGCTCTCCAAGCGAAGGATGTTGAGCCCAGAAACAAGCAAACCGCCTGAGACATCCCCACAAAATGGCCGCGAACGAGCCCGTGCAACCACCCCTGGCGGCTCCCCTTAGGGGTGCTGAAACCAGCGCCCCGCCTGAGACATCCTCACAATCTGCTCTCCAAGCGAAGGATGTTGAGCCCAGAAACAAGCAAACCGCCGGAGACATCCCCACAAAATGGCCGCGAACGAGCCCGTGCAACCACCCCTGGCGGCTCCCCTTAGGGGTGCTGAAACCAGCGCCCCGCCTGAGACATCCTCACAATCTGCTCTCCAAGCGAAGGATGTTGGGCCCAGAAACAAGCAAACCGCCTGAGACAACCCCACAAAATGGCCGCGAACGAGCCCGTGCAACCACCCCTGGCGGCTCCCCTTAGGGGTGCTGAAACCAGCGCCCCGCCTGAGACATCCTCACAATCTGCTCTCCAAGCGAAGGATGTTGAGCCCAGGAAACAAGCAAACCGCCTGAGACATCCCCACAAAATGGCCGCGAACGAGCCCGTGCAACCACCCCTGGCGGCTCCCCTTAGGGGTGCTGAAACCAGCGCCCCGCCTGAGACATCCTCACAATCTGCTCTCCAAGCGAAGGATGTTGGGCCCAGAAACAAGCAAACCGCCTGAGACATCCCCACAAAATGGCCGCGAACGAGCCCGTGCAACACCCCTGGCGGCTCCCCTTAGGGGTGCTGAAACCAGCGCCCCGCCTGAGACATCCTCACAATCTGCTCTCCAAGCGAAGGATGTTGAGCCCAGAAACAGGCAAACCGCCTGAGACATCCCCACAAAATGGCCGCGAACGAGCCCGTGCAACACCCCTGGCGGCTCCCCTTAGGGGTGCTGAAACCAGCGCCCCGCCTGAGACATCCTCACAATCTGCTCTCCAAGCGAAGGATGTTGAGCCCAGAAACAAGCAAACCGCCTGAGACATCCCCACAAAATGGCCGCGAACGAGCCCGTGCAAACACCCCTGGCGGCTCCCCTTAGGGGTGCTGAAACCAGCGCCCCGCTTGAGACATCCTCCAAATCTGATGTGTGTTGAGTAAGTCTGAGTATGAGTAGGTCTGAGTATGAGTATGCTTGAGTATGAGTAAGTCTGTGTATGAGTAAGTCTGTGTATGAGTAAGTCTGGGTATGAGTAGGTCTGTGTATGAGAAAGTCTGTGTATGTGTACGTCTGGGTATGAGTAAGTCTGAGTATGAGTAATACTGTGTATGAGTAAGTCTGGGTATGAGTAAGTCTGTGTATGAGTACGTCTGGGTATGAGTAAGTCTCTGCATGAGTAAGTCTGTGCATGAGTATGTCTGAGTATGAGTAAGTCTGAGCATGGGTAGGTCTGAGTATGAGTTAATCTGAGTATGAGTAAGTCTGTGTATGAGTAAGTCTGAGTATGAGCAAGTGTGAGTATGAGTAAGTCCGACAGGAGGGGAGGAGAAAAGAGGAGGAGGGAGAAGAAGGAGTAGGAGGCGTCCAAGTAATAATTATTCACTGCGTGGAGCTCCCCATATGTGCATCTACTCGCATGGACCTGTCCACCGTGAATGTCTAGGCGCAAGAGCTTTCGAATATCAACGGGCTTCAGTTGTGACGGTCTGGACATCAATCTAACTGCGAATGAATTGGAATGTGAATGAGCCTCAGTAGTACGAGCGCGTCTCTGTGCATGAGCCTGGGGCCCCCTGGGGCCTCCTGAAACCTACTGGGGCTTCCTGGGGTCTCCAGGAGCCTCTTGGAACCTCCTGGGACCTCCTAGGAAGGTTTCGTGCCCCAGGAGAAGCGCAATCTATAGCAACAGACGTACATACATAAAACATTGCGGATTAGAGCCACAGGAGAAGGGCAATCTATAGGAACACGCGTAAAACACCAAGGACTCGTGCCCCAGGAGAGGCCCAATACATAGGAACATGAGTACAACATTTAGGATTGTGTACACAGGAGAAGGACCATGTATAGAAACATATGTAGAACATCAAAGAATCGTGCTCCAGGTGAGGCCCAATCGATAGGAGCATACGTAAAACACATGGGATTGGAGCCACTCCTGTTGCCTTCTGAGGCCTCCTGCTCCTGGGGCCTCTCGGGGCCTCCTGTTGCCTTCCGAGGCCTCCTGGCGCTTCCTGTTGCCTCCTGGGGCCTCCTGTGGTTTCCTGAAGCCTTCTGGAGCTTCCTGGGGCCTCCTGGAGCCTCTTGGGACATCCTGTGGCCTCTTGAGTCTTTCTGTGGCCTCCTGATGCCTCCTGGGACCTCATGTGGTCTCCTGGGGCCTCCTGGAGCCTGTTGGAGCCTCCTGTGGCATCCTGAGAAGAATCTGCGCCCACGAGCCTGGCCACCAAAACAAGCAAACCGATCGAGACATCCTCAAAATCTGGCCCACCTGGGGGGTGAAAATGAACGCCTCGCTCGAGACATCCTCCAAATCTGCTCCGAAAGCGAAGGATGTTGAGCCCAGAAACAAGCAAACCGCCTGAGACATCCCCACAAAATGGCCGCGAACGAGCCCGTGCAACCACCCCTGGCGGCTCCCCTTAGGGCCACGAGCCTGGCCACCAAAACAAGCAAACCGATCGAGACATCCTCAAAATCTGGCCCACCTGGGGGGTGAAAATGAGCGCCTCGCTCGAGACATCCTCCAAATCTGCTCCGAAAGCGAAGGATGTTGAGCCCAGAAACAAGCAAACCGCCTGAGACATCCCCACAAAATGGCCGCGAACGAGCCCGTGCAACCACCCCTGGCGGCTCCCCTTAGGGGTGCTGAAACCAGCGCCCCGCCTGAGACATCCTCACAATCTGCTCTCCAAGCGAAGGATGTTGAGCCCGGAAACAGGCAAACCGCCTGAGACATCCCAACAAAATGGCCGCGAACGAACCCGTGCAATCACCCCTGGCGGCTCCCCTTAGGGGTGCTGAAACGAGCGCCCCGCCTGAGACATCCTCCAAATCTGATGTGTGTTGAGTAAGTCTGAGTATGAGTAGGTCTGAGTATGAGTATGCCTGAGTATGAGTAAGTCTGTGTATGAGTAAGTCTGTGTATGAGTAAGTCTGGGTATGAGTAGGTCTGTGTATGAGAAAGTCTGTGTATGTGTACGTCTGGGTATGAGTAAGTCTGAGTATGACTAATACTGTGTATGAGTAAGTCTGGGTATGAGTGAGTCTGTGTATGAGTATGTCTGAGTGTGAGTAAGTCTGAGTATGAGTAGGTCTGAGTATGAGTAAATCTGAGTATGAGTAAGTCTGTGTATGAGTAAGTCTGAGTATGAGCAAGTGTGAATATGAGTAAGTCCGACAGGAGGGGAGGAGAAAAAAGGAGGAGGGAGGAGGAGGAGTAGGAGGCGTCCAAGTAATAACAAGAACCCCATCTTAGGATATGGGGAACAAGAACCCCATCTTAGGATATGGGGAATTACAAACACAACCACAGGTACACACAAGCATAATGTCAGCTTGTGATTAACAAATCCGTGGGGGGGCGCGCGTTTGAAAACATAGTTCCCCTGCTCGGGCGAATCGCGGGGTGGCGCCCGCCAGATTGAAAATCACAGGGGCGGCGCCGGTGATTAGCGCCGACGCCCGGCCGCCAACGAGGGGCAAGGTGGGGCTGTGTGGAGGCAAGGGCGAGCCAGGGCGCCCTTCTTTCTGTCGAACGGATGCGGGCCTGCGGGCAAGGCGAGCTGGACGAAGGTCGGGCGCAGCAAAGGGGGGATTTGCCAAGCAGCTCATGTTGCCGACTTTCCAAGCGCCTCCTGGCGCCGCAATCGGCCATGCGTCGAGGACTGGCCCTTCGGCGGGGCGACCGAAAGCAGCTGCGCGCAACAGGCTTTGCAACCCCCCCTTTCCTTCCCCAGCCTCCTCCTCCTCCTCCTCCTCCTCCTCCCTCCGCCTCCTCCTCCTCCTCCTCCCTATCCTTCTCCTCCTCCTCCTCCTCCTCCTCCTCCTCCTCCTCCTCCTCCCCCTCCTCCTCCTCCTCCCTCCTCCTCCTCCTCCTCTCCTCCTCCTCCTCCTCCTCATCCTCCTCCCCCCCCTTCTCCTCCTCCTCCTCCTCCTCCTCCTCCTCCTCCTCCCTCCTCCTCCTCCTCCTCCTCCTCCACACTCCTCCTCTTCCTCTTCCTCCCCTCTCCTCCTCCTCCTCCTCCTCCTCCTCCTCATCATCATCATCATCATCATCATCATCATCATCATCATCATCATCATCATCATCATCACCACCACCACCACCACCACCATCATCATCATCATCATCATCATCATCATCATCATCATCATCTCATCATCATCATCATCATCATCATCATCATCATCATCATCATCATCATCATCATCATCACATCATCATCATCATCATCATAATCATCATCATCATCATCATCATCATCATCATCATCATCATCAATCATCATCATCATCATCATCATCATCCATCATCAATCAATCAATCATCATCATCATCATCATCATCATCATCATCATCATCATCATCATTATCATCATCACCATCACCATCAGCATCAGCATCAGCATCAGCATCAGCATCAGCATCAGCATCATCATCATCATCATCATCATCATCATCATCATCATCATCATCATCATCATCATCATCATCATCATCATCATCGACGGCATTGACGGCATGTTCGGGGAGCAGGAGGGAAAAGGGAGGAGTGAGGATGAAAAAAGAGGGAGGGAGGGGGGAGGAACGACGAATCAGAGCAGGGGGGAACAGTGGAAGAGGGCGGGGGGAAAAGGGGTAGGAGAAAAGAGGGAGGAAGAATGAGGAAGCAGGGGAGGAGGGCAAGGAGGGGGTTGGCCAGGAGGATGGAGGATGAGAAGAGGGAGGATTTTATGCGGTGATACTTTTTCCGAGGAGGGGGAGGGTGGCGTATGGGGGCCCTGCCAGGAAGCTGCAAGCCCGCTCGGCTGGACTCACACGCGGAGGCCACTCTATGGCCAAACTTTCGAGCCACGGCATGTGCATCCAGATGCAGCCAGCTCGAGGATGCCCCGTCCCAGATGCGGGCCCCATGGAGGGCGTTCAATCTTGACGACGCCGCGCGACCTCGCTGCCGCCGCGACGACGCGGCGCGACCTCGAGGGCGTCCACGAGGAGGGCGTGGAAGCGGGCGGCCCACAAAGCATGGCCCGAGACACGTGTGCGGCCGAGGAGGGGGGGCAAGGGACGCATTGAAGAAGGATGAGGGGGCCGTGAGCTCGGTGAGTTTGCATGGCCCCGGCCATGACATCCACTCCCCCCTGGCCGTTACCCCGCTCTTGGACCCAAGCATGATTGCGTCGTTAAAAAATCAAGACGGCAAATTTTTGGCAATTTTCGGCCTCGGGGGCCCTCGCCGGGCCTCGGGACTGTCAAAAAACGACTCAGGATGAAAAACCAGTCCTGGGGACAGGGTCGGGATGTCCAGGGACCCCGTATTGAAAAAATCAGGACGTCTCATGTCTTGGGGCGCCAACCCACAGACCAACCGTGTACGCGTCCAACTCCCTGGTCGGAGGCCTCCCACATGGGGTCCGAGCAGATTTGGGTGGAGGATCGCGCCGGATCGCCGACGCCTCCGTGGAAAGAACATGGGGCTGCACATCGAGCCACATCGCCGATGGATCAGCGATGAGCTGTGATCCTCCGATCCCATCTGCTCGGACCTCATGTGGGCGACGATCACAAACGGGTCTCACGCGAGATGACATACCGACCTCGCGCGGTGGCTGACGCGGGCCGCCCGCGCGGCACGCCACCTCTGAAGCGAGAGAACTCACGCGCGACCTTACGCGGGCAGCCTGCGCGCCAATGTCGACGCAGACGATCCCCGTGTTCTTGCGTCGCTCATGTGGGAGGCCTGGGCTGCCGCGTCCAGCCCGGGCGGAGCCGACGAGTCCCTCAGATCTCGTCGTCATCCTCGAGCATGGCGCGGAGCCCCTCGGTGGCGTACTGCATGGCCTCGCCGGGCGAGCAGATGCCCGACCCCGACACCGACAGCATGAAGCCGAGGTCCGCCCGCAGCTCCTCTGCGGCGTGCTCCAGCGCCTTCGCGCCGACCTCGCGGGCGGCTCAAGGGCTCGGAGTCGACCGAGGGCCGAGGGCACTTTCGGGCTACGGAGGCCCTAGCGCTGGCCATCGCTCGGACGTCCGTTCCCCGTGCATGTTTCGACGTTGTGCGTGTTTTTGTTGGGCAAGATGATCCGTGATGCTCCTCAACGGTCCCCGCAGAGGAAAACATGCACACGTCACAGTTCGGAAAACCTAACGGACTGAACGTGACAGCTCGACGGTCCGCACGGACTTCTCCGAGATCTGCGCTGGCCCCCCCTGGCGGCGCCTTCGGCACCGCCGATGGCGCGCTCCCCGCGCGCCAGGCGCGGGGCGCCAGCGCAGAGCCAAGAACTCCGCGCGGACGGGCGACTGCTTATGCTTTTGCCGTTTGTCTTCTCTTCGACTGCAGCCAGGACGCCGACATAGAGGAGGAGCTCGACCACAAGAAACCTTCCACAAGAAACCCAACCCTGAGACCCCAGGCCGTCCATTGATTTTTGGTGTGGAAACCTCACGCTTTCCATAACAGATCCCTCGAAACCCAAGAAACCCAGGCACCCTGGAGGCAAGCAGGGTGTTTCTTGTCATGGGTTTCCACTGTACGCCGTTCGTTTCTTCGTCGACTGCAGCCAAGACCCTGACATAAGGACCACTCTGAGCGCAGGAGGGTTTATTGTTTTCCGGGCCGTTGCACAAATAACTATCTATGTCGGGGAACTTGTTCGTGGCCGAGGCTCGCCGTGGCCAGAAAAGCCTCTTCGGTCCACCCTCGGCGCTCCCCATGGAAGCCTGATGACTCTAGGGAGGCCTCTGCGGAGACCCTCTTCCTCTCCGCACCTTCGAGCCAGTCTGGGCGCAGCGGGCACCTGGCCCCCCCTGCCCTTGCCGGCATGTCGAGAGCGGCAAGCCAGCAGTCGCGGCGGCGAGCCGGAGCAATGTCTCTGAGCCCGCGGCGTGCTGACACGGCTCCGCGGCGTGCTGAGCCCTGAGACGACTGGAGTCTTCCAGAGACCCCTGGTCTACCTCAGACCTCCAGGAGAGACCTCAGGTCCAGGCGTCGTGGAGACAAACAGTGCGACGGGCGTGCTCGGCCCAGTCTCGGGCCCTGGGCCCTCGCGGCTCCACCCAGCTCGGGAAACGCCGCAGAGAGCTTGCGTCGAGGACACTGGTCGTGTGTGGGACTTTTGGCTACGCAGCTGTGTTTGTTCTCTCTTCGTGGGAACTCAGAGGAGGCCGCACCGGATTGTAGATCGATGTTTCGCTTGCCTAGCGAAGCTGTCGCGTCATCGAATCAACTGGTGACGAACGCAAACACTAGTACCAATCACCGTCGAATCGATCGTATTGTGAGCAGCCGTGGGCCTCCTTTACGGCCTTCAGCATGTAGCTCCTGTCGGAGGCGAGCTCGGCCCTCACGTGGTCGGAAGCTTGCTTCAACGCCTCAACTGGGCTGAACGACGCCGCGATCATGACGAACTCCCTGTCGCCGCGCAACTCCGGCGAGCACTGCCCCAGCACCCCTGCGCCGGACTCCCACACGAGCTTCTTCATGAATTCCTTGTCGCGCGATAGCTCCGCCTTGTGACGACCGTCCCAAAGTGGTGCGCCGACAGACCGTGCGGTGACCTCGGAGTCCGCAGAGTCCCCGCCGCACGGTCCGTCACCGCGCGACCTTGGGACCCTGGAGACCCAATCGCCCGACACGCCTTCGGGGAACGACCCAAGTTCCAAAACCGTGCAGCCCCCCCGAAACTCCACCGACTCGCGCGGCGTGGTCACCGCCCCATTTGGACCATTTGGGTGCCTCCGAGCCTTGACCTCCTCGCTGGCGAAGTGCTGCACTTCGCGGGGCGGGCAACACTGCGCCGCCGCCATCATGAACTCGTGGTCGGCGTGCAGCTCCGGCCCCGCGGAGCGCAGGGCTTCCGAGCCGTTTTCGCGCAGGGCCTTCTTCATGAAGTTCCTGTCGGCGGCCAGCTGCGCCCGCACGGCGTCGGAGGCGTGCGCGAGCACGTCCTTCGTGAGCACGTAGAAGGAGGCGTTGAACATGAAGTCCCGGTCCCCTCTGAGTCCGACCGAGGCGTGCTCCAGGGCGGGGGTGCCCACCTGCCACACAGCCTTGAGCATGAAGGCCTTGTCCCCGCAGAGCTCCGCCCGCAGCCCCTCGGTGGAGTACCTGAGTGCCTCCCGAGGGGGACAGACCACCGCCGCGGAGAGCATGAACTCGCGGTCCCCGCGCAGCTCCAGGGAGGCGTACTCGAGGGCGGAGGCGCCGACCTCCCGCAAGAACTTGAGTAGAAATGCGCGGTCGTTCGAGAGCTCCGTCCTGACCTTGTCGGAGGCATACCTCAGTGCCTCCTGTGTGGCGCAGCAAGACGCGGCGGCGACGATGAAGTCCCTGTCAGCCCGCAGCTCGCCGGAAGCGTAGGCCAGCGCCTCTGGCCCCATCTCGCGCACGGCCTGCAAGACGCGCGCCCCTTGCTCGTGCAGCGTGGGCGGGCGCGGCTGCGGCGGCAGCGCTGGAGAAGCGGGCGGCGCTGGCATCCCCGGCGATGCCACCATGGCGGGAGGGCACTCCTTGTAGGAGAGAGAGAGAGAGAGAGATGGAGAGAGCGATGCACATACACCGATCCTGGCCAGGCCTGGCCAGTCCAGGATGGGCCTGGACACGATCGGGGCAAGTGCACAGGTCTCTTCGCCCGAGTCCTGGGGGTTCGCCGCGAAGTCGTGGGCCGCCGGCGGGAGCGAGGCCAGGCTGGCCTTGGGCACCGCCACGAGGCCCGTGGCGTCTGGCGCCGCCGCGGCCGGGGCGCCCTGGCCCGACCAGTCCTCGGCGGCGCCCCACTCCTCGGGGTCGTCCCACTCGGGCGCGGCGTGGGCGGCGCTGCTGAGGGCCTGGCCCCAGCCGTCCGCGGGCGCCTCGCCCGCCTCGGCGGACAGGTAGTGGTTGGCCTGCACGGCGCCCCCGTGCGCCAGAGCCGGGGGCATCACCCCGAACTCGGCGCGGACGGCCTCGGAGGCGTACTGGAGCACGTCGCCTTCCGCACAGCACGCGGCAGCGTCCCGCAGGAAGTCGCGGTCGCCGCGAAGTTCCTCGCTCGCGTCCTCGAGCACCTCCGCCCCCACGGCCCGCACGGCCTGCAGCATGAAGGAGCGGTCGGCGTAGAGCTCCGCCCGCAGCGCGTCCGTGGCGTAGTAGAGCGCCTCACCTGGCGGGCAGACGTCTGCCACGGCCAGGATGAAATCGCGCTGCCCGCGCAGCGTCTCCGGGACAGAGTCCAGCACCTCCGCGCCAGCGTCCATCACAGCCTGAAGCACGAACTCGCGGTCCGAAAGCAGCTCTTCGCGCAGCTCGTCCGGCATGAAGTAAAGTACCTCGCCAGGCGGGCAGTAGTCCACCACCTCCATCATGAACGCCCTGTCGCCCCGCAGCTCCTCGGAGGCGTGCTGCAGAACGCCAGGGCCTATCTCCTGCGCCGCGCCGAGCACGTACTCGCGATCCCCCCGCAGCTCCGCCGAGGCGAACAGCAGCGCCTCCCCGCCGCTGTTCCGCATGGCCTCGCACACGATCTCTGGGTCCGCGCGGGCATCTGCCGGGGCGTGCTGGAGCGTCCTCCAGTCTTCGCCCACGGAGGCGAGCCACTGGGCGGAGCTGCCGCGCCCCCCGGGCGGAGGCGAGCGGGACGCGCCGTTCCTGCACGGATGAGGACGACCCAGTGCGTCGCAGAGGGGGGCCAAGCAGAGGGGGGGGGGGGAGGGCGAACCATGGCCCGAGGCAGGTGTGCGGACGAGGGGGGGCCAGGGGAAATGCGGCAAGAAGAGAAGACACAACGATGAGGATCATAATGCGAATAACTATACTGATACGACGATTACTACTACTACTACTACTACTACTACTACTACTACTACTACTACTACTACTACTACTACTACTACTACTACTACTACTACTACTACTACTACTACTACTACTACTACTACTACTACTACTACTACTACTACTACTACTACTACTACTACTACTACTACTACTACTACTACTACTACTACTACTACTACTACTACTACTACTACTACTACTACTACTACTACTACTACTACTACTACTACTACTACTACTACTACTACTACTACTACTACTACTACTACTACTACTACTACTACTACTACTACTACTACTACTACTACTACTACTACTACTACTACTACTACTACTACTACTAGCAATCGTCAAACTCAAAAGTAATAACAATAATGATGATGCTGCCAATACTAATGCATATACAACTAATACGATTGATACTAATACTAATATGACTAAAAGCTACAGTGGTAGTATAGTAATAATCATGACACTAAGAAGAAGACGAACATTTATAATAAGAAGAGAAACGCTCAAGGATAATACGACAAACAACCCGTATCATAAGGACGCACGATCAGGACGCACCGGCCTTGGGAAAAATGCCATGCCGACACTTTGCAAGCGGGGCGCGGCCAGGCGAAGCGGCCAAGGATGGGCCGACGGGGAAGGATGCAAGGGCAACCTTGGAAAGGTGTTGATCCTTGCTATGCGGGTTGACTGTAAAGAGAAGGAGGAGAAGATGAAACATAATAATAATAATGAAGAAAAGCGAAGGGGCCATGAGATCTGGGAGACGTGATGGCCCTGGCCGTGATGCTGGCAACCTCCCAAAATTCCCGACAGCTCCCACCCCGACGCCCCCGAAGAATGAGCAGATCCAGCCCCGCGGGGACGGCGTGCGGCCGGCCCACTGCTGGCCTCTGAATAGGGCTTCCTGGCCTGGCCCCCGGGCCGACGCCCACGGGGGCCCGCAAGGGGGGCGGGTGGAGGGCCGGACGGTGGCCCAGACCTTGGAGAGCAAGGCTCCCGGGCGAAGGGCCCCGGCACATGAAGCCGAGGGCACTGCGAGGCAAGGGAGACCAGTTCTGGGCCGGGTCCCAGAGAAGGAGGAGGAGGAGGAGGAGGAGGAGGAGGAGGAGGAGGGACGCGGGGCGCTCTTGAAAACGAGAACCCAACACCAGAGGACGGTTGGGAAAAGGAATATCAGTGTCACGCCAGTGGGACGAACTCATCAGCGTGCCCCAGGCTTTTGCACAAGAAGCGAGTCAGCAAAACGCACAATCGGGAAGGCGCTGGGCGTGTTACTGATACGCTCTCCATCCTTCCCGAACACTTCCGACGCCATCAACGGAAAAACATAATCTCAAACGGAGAGGAACATGCACCAGAGTCCTCGCCCCCATCACCAGGGCCGTGTCTGGGCGCACCGTAACCTGGCGAAGGGACCAAGCATATGAAGCTGCGGGTGCCACGAGACAAGTGAGAAAAGACATGGGGGGAGTGCGGGGTGTGCCGACATGGAGCCGGTGCGCGGTGAGCCGAATCGGATGCGGGCACGCCATGCGGACCCTGCCGCTGGGGCCTTCGGTGGAGCTTCATGTGGGGCCACGAACCGTGTGAGGGGTGTGCCGCATCGGGTGCGGGTACGCCATGCGGACAGTGCCGCAAGGGCCTTCGGTGGAGCTCCTTATGGGGCCACGAAACGTGCGAGAGGTATGCTAAATTGGGCGCGGGTGCGCAATGTGGACACTGCCGCTGGGGCCTTCGGTGGAGCTCGCTACGGGGCCACGATGCGTGTGAGGGGTGTGCCCGATCGGGTGCAGGTACGCCATGCAGACCCTGCCGCTGGGGCCTTCGTTGGAACTCCCTATAGTGCCACGAAGCATGTGAAGGGGGTGCAGAATCGGGTGCGGGTAGGCCATGCGGACCCTGCCCCTGGGGCCGTCGGTGGAGCTCCCTGTAGGGCCACGAAACGTGTGAGGGGAATGCCGATTCGGATGCGGGTGCGCCATGCGGATCCTTCCGCTGGGGCCTTCTGTGGAGCTCGCTACGGGGCCAAGGATGTGTGAAGAGTGTGCTGAGACGGGTGCGGGCACGCCATGCGGACCCTGCCGCTGGGGCCTTCGGTGTGGGCCACGAAAAATTTGAGGTGTGTGCCGAATCGGGTGCCGGTACGCCATGCGGACCCAGCCGCTGGGGCCTTCGGTGGAACTTCCGATCGGGCCACGGAACGTGAGAGGGGTATGCCGAATCGGGATCGGGTACGCCTGATGGTGATGAGATGAGGGCATACGTATGCAGGGCAGAAGCAGGGATGGGGAGGAGGGATGAGCGTGATGATGAGGAGGAGGAGAAGAAGAAGAGAGCAGAGGAAAGGAGAGGAGGAACGCGGGGCGTGTTCTCTTCAAAACGAAGACCCAACACCACAGGATGGTTGGGAAACACAATGTCGATGGCACGCCGGTGGGACGCGAACCCATCAGCGTGCCCCAGGCTTCTTGCACAAGGAGCGAATCAGCAGCACGCACAGCTCGGAAGACGCTGCGCGTTATTGATACGCTCTCCATCCTTGCCGAACACTTCCGACGCCATCAACCGAAAAGCAGGATCTCAAACGGAGAGGATGGGCGCCAGTCCTCGCCCCCATCACCAGGGCCGTGTCCGGCCGTGGGCTGCTTCGGCTGCAGCCGGCTGGGGCCCGAAGGTCACCCACAGGCCCGCAGATTTAGGGGAACAACATCGGCATGAACAAACACTTTCGGAGTTCCCCGCCTTTTTTCTCGGATCTGCGGCGGACCCCCCTTCCTGGCGCGCGGAGCGCGCCAGTGGCGGCGCCGAAGGCGCCGCTAGGGGGGCCCAGCGGAGATCCAAGAACTCCGCGTGGACCGTCTAAAGTTCATGTTTACGCATCGTCTCTTTCTCGACGACAGTGGGGCGGCGCGCGCGGGGTGCTCTTTTCTTTGGCGCCTGCTCTTGGTGGGCCTCAGAAACGGCAGGGCCGTTTTTTCACCGTTTCCGAAGAAGCGTCTCTTGAAAATGGAGACAGCAAAACACGACGACCGGAAACGGCAACAACAAATGCTCCGGGATTGGAACCGGAGCTGGAACCGGTAAAAAACCGCGTCGGAACTGGCAACCAAAAACGGCAAAACGGAACCGGTTAAAAAAACTGTCTTGTCGCTTCCAGGGCCCAGGGCCCACCAAGCGCCTGCTGGGCTGCCGTGGGGCGGGCCCTTTCCCTCTCCCGAGCTCCGCTCCGTCGGCCGCCCTGGGGGCGGCTTCGGCTTCGGCCTGCCTCTCCTCGCGCGGCGGCCCCAACGGCCCAACACGCAAGAGCGTCCCTGGGCAAGAGTGACCTTTGTCGGCGGCGAGCGAGGGGGGGGAAGTGAGAAGGGGAAGGCCTTCTCAGAAGGCGGCGGGACTTCTCAGAAACCCTCTGGCCTTTTGAGAAGTTTTTTTTCTTCGGGGAAGGCTTAGGAAACTTCTTAGAAGGTCGTGGGACTTTCGAGCCTTATGAGAAGGCCTCGTCCTTCTCACTTCCCTCCCCCCCTCGCTCGCCGCCGACTTTGGTGCGCAGCTTTAGGGTGGCGAAGAGGGGGGCGGGGGCAACCCCAAGCGCGCAAGTCCGTGCTATCGCATCGCGCTCAGCGGTCGGAGGACCCTGGTGGGCCAGCAGAAGGGATCACTCCAGCGGAGGGTCACTCTGGCGTGTGATCGACCCAATGGTCACGGCAGATCGATCGGACCGTTCGACGAGTCGATCGGGTCGAACCCCATTCGCGGAGGAGGCGAGACACTCCCTGGGAAACGAATCGATCGATGCATTGTGCAGGCTTTGGCACGTATCACCGAATCGACAGGGTCGTGTAGAGAAGTAGCCACCGTCCAGAACAACTCAGGACGGAGGCGTGTGGCACTTGTCTGCCACTGGGGGCCCTCGGCAGGCCCCGGGACCGTCAACAAACGGCTCGGGAAGAAAAGCTAGCCCCGGGGAAAGGGTGTGGACTTCTGGGGACCCCGTTTTGACGTTAGCTGAACGGTAACCTTCTGGGGGGCCCGCGTGGAAAGAAGCATGACGACGGATGCCTGGGGCCCTGGGAGGGGGGACGCGGAGGAAGGATGGAGGAAAAAAGCGGCGGGGAACGGAGCACAGGAGGTTCGCCGCAGATCCACTCAAGGAACAGGCGGCGCAGGTGGGCAAGGAAGGTTACCACGAAGCCAAGACGAGGATAGTTCGGGTGAAGATAAATCGAGAATCTCTGAGATCCGGAGGCTCTGGAGGATGTCTCGGGCGCCGCGGCCTTCTCAGAGCGTCCTGGAACGCTCCGAGAGCGTTCCGAACGCGCGGGGAACGGATTTATCCTCGTCTGAGCCCCGTCCGAAAAAGAGGATGGCGGGGGAGGAAGACGGGGGAGCCGAGCAGGCAGAAACCTACACTCTCGGGCCCCCGTGAGTTCGATCGAGCGAGGGGGAACGACGTAGCGGGGGACCCGCTCAGGGGGAGAAGCAGCGATTCAGAGTCGGCGATGCATCGCCATTAGATCGGCGGTATGCTGCCGCAGCGAAGGCGCACGCTCCTGACGGGCCATCGGGCCCCTATTAGTGATGAGCGGGCGATTGGCGGTCGAGGCAGTTACCTCTGAGCCTTGGATGCTCGTTCTGCGGACCCTTCTGAAGCCACTCACTCCGAGTCTGACTCCACTCATGCGTCGATGCTGCGTCGAACGTCCGTCGATTTGAGTCGAACTTGAACCACACCTGGGTCGAACTTGAGTCGAGCTAGAGTCGAACGAGACTCGAACACATCCGCTATCCCAGGGATGTCCACAACACGACGATCAAATGGTCCGATCCCCGCGGATTAACCATGCCCCTGATCGAGTCGTGGGCAGCCGCTGCGGTCCTCATGCCCGCCAAAGGCCGTCGCAAGGCATCGGCCGCGGCGACGCCCTGCGACGCGACAGCCCCCCGCGCGCGGGCCGGCGCACGGCGCGATGTCCTGCGCGCGCGGGCGCGCGCACGTGAAGGCCCTGAGCCAGAACGGCTGGCCCCTCCTCCTCCTCCTCCTCCTCCTCCTCCTCCTCCTCCTCCTCCTCCTCCTCCTCCCTGCTCCCTCCTCCTCCTCCCTCCTCCCTCCTTCTCCTCCTCCGCCTCCTCCTCCTCCTCCTCCTCCTCCTCCTCCTCCTCCTCCTCCTCCTCCTCCTCCTCCTCTCTCCTCTTCCTCCTCCTCCTCCCTCCTCCTCCTCCTCCTCCTCCTCCTCCTCCTCCTCCTCCCCCCTGCTCCCTCCTCCTCCTCCTCCCCTCCTCCTCCTGCTCCTCCTCCTCCCTCCTCCTCCTCCTCCTCCCTCCTCCTCCCCCTCCTCCTCCTCCTCCTCCTCCTCCTCCTCTCCTCCTCCTCCTCCTCCTCCTCCTCCTCCTCCTCCTGCTCCTGCTCCTGCTCCTAGTTCTGCCCCATCGGAGTCAGCCTCGAGGGACGGGGGCGGAGGTTCTCGGACGCTCTTGGTTCCCTGCCGGGGAAGTCTGGCAGCCCACCGAAGCCTCTGGGGAGCATCCAAGGGTCCGTCCCCTCCGCTCCTCCCGCTCCGCCACCAGGCTCGGCACGAGGGAAGCGGGCCCTGTAGACTGTAGAGGAGAAGGGTCTTGGGCTGCTTTCAAGCTCTGGGGGCCCCCTCACGGGCACGGAGGCTGACAAAAATCATCCTGGCGACGGACCCAAGCATATGGAGTTCTGGGTACCGCAATTGTGAATATCTTCTTCGCTGAAGCTCCCTATGGGGCCACGAAGCGCTGGGCTGGGCGGGGGGAGAACGCATGCGGGCGGTAGCATTGGGGCCGTCGCTGAAGCTCCCTATGTGGCCACGAAGCGCTGCACTGGGTGGGTGAAAGTGCCAAATTAAGCGTGTGGGACGCATGCGGGCGGTCCCATTGGGGGCTCCGGTGGGGCTCCCCATGGGGCCGCGAAGCGTTGTAAAGGGTGTGTAAAAATGCCAAATTGGGTGTGGGAGGCGCATGCGGGAGGCACCACTGGGGGCTTCGGTGGGGCTCCCTATGGGGCCACGAATCGCTGTACTGGGTCGGTGAAAATGCCAAATTGAGTGTGGGGGACGCATGCGGGCGGTCCCACTGAAGGCTTTGGTGGAGCTCCCAGTGGGGGACGCATGCGGGCGATCCCACTGGGAGATTCGGTGGAGCTCCCTATGGGGCCCCGAAGCGCTGTACTGGGCGGGTGAAAATGCCCAAGTGGGCATGGTGGACGCATGCGGGCGGTCCCACTGGGGACTTCGGTGGGGCTCCCTATGGGCCCACGGAGCGCTGTACTGGGCGAGTGAAAATGCCAAATTGGATGTGGGGGACGCATGCGGGCGGTCCCATTGGGGACTTCGGTGGAGCTCCCTATGGGGTCACGAAACGCTGTACTGGGTGGGTGACAATGCCAAATTGGATATGGGAGACGCATGCGGGCGGTCCCACTGGGGGCTTCGGTGGGGCTCCCTATTGGGCCACGAAGCGCTGTACTGGGTGGGTGAAAATGCCAAGTTGTGTGTGGGGGACGCATGCGGGCGGTCCCACTGGGGGCTTCGGTGGAGCTCCCTATGGGGTCACGAAGCGCTGTACCGGGTGGGCGAAAATGCCAAATCTGGCGTCGGGACCCCTTTGGGTGGTCCCACTGGGGGTTTCGTTGGAGCTCCCTATGGGGCCACGAAGCGCTGTACTGAGCGGGTGGAAATGCCAAATTGGGTGTGGGGGGCGCATGCGGGCGGTCCCACTGGGGGCTTCTGTGGAGCTCCCCATGTGGCAACGAAACGCTGTACCGGGTCGGTGAAAATGCCAAATTCGGTGTGGGGGCTGGACGCATGCGGGGGGTCCCACTGGGGGCTTCGGTGGAGCTCCCTATGGGGCCACGAAGCGCTGTACTGGGCGAGTGAAAATGCCAAATTGGATGTGGGGGACGCATGCGGGCGGTCCCATTGGGGACTTCGGTGGAGCTCCCTATGGGGTCACGAAACGCTGTACTGGGTGGGTGGCAATGCCAAATTGGATGTGGGAGACGCATGCGGGCGGTCCCACTGGGGGATTCGGTGGAGCTCCCAATGGGGCCACGAAGCGCTGTACTGGGTGGGTGAAAATGCCAAGTTGTGTGTGGGGGACGCATGCGGGCGGTCCCACTGGGGGCTTCGGTGGAGCTCCCTATGGGGCCACGAAACGCTGTACTGGGTGGGCGAAAATGCGAAATTAGGTTTGGGGGACGCATGCGGGCGGTCCAAATGGGGGCTTCGGTGGAGCTCTCTATGGGGCCACGAAGCGCTGTACTGGGTGGGTGAAAATGCCACATTTGGCGGGACGCATGCGGCGGTCCCACTGGAGGCTTCGGTGGAGCTCCCTATGTGGCCACGAAACGCTGTGCTGGGTGGTGAAACGCATGGAAGAAGGAGGGGAGGGGAGGAGGAGGAGGAGGAGGGAGGAGGAGGAGGAGAGGAGGAGGAGGAGGAGGAGGAGGAGGAGGAGAGGAGGAGAAGAGGAACGGGACGCGGGGACCGTCTCTTCAATACGAGGACCCAACACCACAGGATGGTTGGGAAAAAGAGCTGGTCCTGGGGAAAACCCCTGAGCCTAGGTGCTGGGGAAACCCCTTTCCTTCGTGGCGACAAATGCTCCTCTTCCGCCGCCTCCTCCTCCTCGTCCTCCTCCGCTCCTCCTCCTCCGCCTCCCCCTCATCTTCCTTCTCCTCCCTTTCTCCTCCTCCTCCTCCTCTCCTCCTCCTCCTCCTCCTCCTCCTCCTCCTCCTCCTCCCTCCTCTTCTCTCTCTCTCTCTCTTCTCCCGACCTGCGGGCCTGTCCAGGGACTCGTCTAGACCAGAATTTCAAGGCGCCTCCTCCTCGTCCTCCTCCTTCTCCTCCTCCTCTTCCTCCTCCTCCTCCTCCTCCTCCTCTTATGCCTCCTCCTCCTCCTCCTCCTCCTCCTCATTCTCCTCCTCCTCCTCCTCCTCCTCCTCCTCCTCCTCCTCATCTCATCATCATCATCATCATCATCATCATCATCATCATCATCAGCATCATCATCATCATCATCAGCTTCAGCATCAGCATCAGCATCGTCACGTCATCATCATCAGCATCAGCATCAGCATCAGCATCTCATATCATCATCATCATCATCCATCATCAGCCATCATCATCATCATCATCATCAGCATCATCATCATCATCATCATCCTCATCAGCATCAGCATCAGCATCATCATCAGCATCATCATCAGCATCACATCATCACCACCATCATCACCATCATCATCATCATCATCATCATCATCATCATCATCATCATCATCATCATCATCATCATCACATCATCATCATCATCATCATCATCATCATCATCATCATCATCATCATCATCATCATCATCATCATCATCATCATCATCATCATCATCATCATCATCATCCCAACCCCTCCTCACCCTCGTCCCACCACCCTCCATCCTCATCTCCGCCTCCGTCCCCCCCTCCCAACCCTCCTCGATTCCGTCGCCGTCGCCGCACCCGCCGCAGCCGCCGACGCCGCAGCCGCCCGCCGCTGCTGACGCCGTCGCCACCGACGCCGCACCCGCAGCCACCCCATGCTGCCGACGCCGCCGCCGCCACCGCCGACCGCCGCCCCGCCTCCGGGCGGCCGCCCGCCGCCCCTCGCTGGCGCCGCGAGCGCCGCCCGTGCCAGGGGCGTGGTCGCAGCGGGGGCCCGCAGCGGCCCAGCACCGCCGCCTGCAGGACACTGGCACCCTCCGCTGATCCAGAATCGAGGATCAAGCATCGAAGACCGAGGATCGATCGAGGTTCGAGGGTCGAGGATCGTTTAAACGGTGACATTCGGAGTGGAGGGTCGTTGGGGGGCGAGCGTTCTACCAATTGTTCGTACGGTTGGTACTGAGCTTGCGCCGACCTTCTGCCACTACGAAGACTACAACGCTTTGTCCACGATCGATCGAGGATCCTCGATCGAGGATCGAGGGAGAACGCGCGGCCTCACACGCCGCCTCCCGGCGGCAGCGCCCCCCGCCCTCGTCGAAGCAGGCCCTGCGGGCGTGGCAGCCACCCCCGCAGGCGCGAGGCGTGCGGCCGCGCCCGCGCGGAGGCCGCGTACAGTGCCAGAAGGGCCCCCTCGCTCGCCAGTGCGCCGAGAACGCCCCCGACGGCCGCCACCAGCCAGGCCGGCGCCGCGCCGCCGGCGATGCCAGCGGGGAGCGGCAGGCGGAGCAAGGGCGCGGCGGCTGGCACCGTCTTGCCGGTCCAGCCCCAGGGCACCTGGTGCCGCGCTAGCGCCCGGGGCAGCGACGCGCGCAGCCACGAGGCCAGGAAGCAGAGCAGCGCCGCGGCTTCGGCCAGCCGCTGCGGCGCCCCCGCCTCGGCCAGGGCGGCCGCGCCCTCGCGCCGCTGCCGAGCGGTGGATCGCGGCACGGCGCGCAGCAGCCGCAGCGGCCTCACGGCCCGCCCGGTGGTCCAGGCCAGCGACACGAGGGCCAGGGCGGTGCAGCCGCCAGCGGCGGCCAGCCCGGCCGGCGCGCGCGCGCCCAGGCCGACGCACAGCAGGGTGGCCGCCCCGCTGCCCAGCAGGTACACGAGGAGGAGGGCTCCGGGGCCGGCGCCCACCTCGATCACCCTGCAGAAGATGACAAGCATGACGAGGCACCCGCTGAGCGAGAGCCACCCAGAAAAGAGCAGAGACGACGTGACGAGCCCGCCCCACGCGACGCCGAAGGTGGTCCCGGGCCCAGGATACCAGAACAGGAGCTCTGCAAAGGGGTATCTGGCGCATAGCAGGGAGACGAGGACAATCACCGCCAGCAGCATCAACGTCATTTTCACGGGAAGATTCTCGTCGTCGTCGCTGGCGAAGGCTTTCAGACCGTCCTCGACCTTCTCCCGCCCGCCCTTGAGCGCGTCCTCCCCGAGCTCAACGAGCTTCCTAAAGAACCTCACCGTCTTGATGGACTTCTCCTCGCCGCTCAGCTCCGCGCCTTTCTCGGCCACGGTGAGCGCCACGCGGGGGGCCGCAAGGCCGCGATCGATCAAGCCTGCTGTCATGTCGAGAAACCGCTTGCCCTTATTCACCAGCTCTGTCGGGCTGCCACGCTCCTTCTGCCTGTTCATTACTTCACGCGTTCTCCAAGCAAGGACCGCGCCCGCCGTGCCAGCCACCAGCACCGTCTCCGCAGAGATGACGTCCGGCTGGAAGGACAACGTCAGGAGAAACTGACCCAACACCGCGGCCTTCACGAGCCTCCACCGGTTGAACCAGAAAGCGACCGAGACGCAGCCCGGCAGCGGGTCCCCATTCCTGACGCTGGTGACCTCCAGGGTGCGGCTCGTGGCTACGAACAGCAGGAAAACCGCCCAGAGTGCGGCCAGCTGGGCGACGCCCACCGGCGGCGGGGCGCCCGTGAGGAGCCACGCGAGCGGCAGCGTGCAGAAGCCGCCCACGAGGCAGGCGCGCAGCAGCAAAGGACCACCCAGCTCGCCCTCCACCTGGCGCCCCAACAGCAGTAGCAGGAGCGGCCCATTCGCCTGGTTCCCCAGCACCGCGCCGCCGCACGAGGTAACCGCCGAAGCGAGCAGCGGCCACTTGCTGTGCCTCAGCTTCGCCGCCATGTAGGGGGCGACAATCCAGCGCACCTTTCTGGATTGCAGCTTCGCGCCCAGGAGCACGTCCACGGTGGCCTCGATGGCAAGCACCACGAAGGCGATCGCGAGCAGCGTGGCGGTCCAGGGCCGCTTTGGGTACCTCTTATGGCCAGGGTACAGCGCCAGCAGCGCACGCCGACGCAACCGGCCATGCTGGCGCGACTGGCTGCAGCTGCCGGCCACCGTGCATGGGCTGCCCGACGGGCAGACGAATGGTGCCCCAGGTCGACCCCGGGCGGCCGCGCCCGCGAGGGCCTTGGCCGCTGCGGCCACCTCGCTCCTGGGGCAACCGACAGGTACTGATACTGCCACAGTCAACCCGTATGATGAGGATGCGCGGTAAGGATGCAAGGGCCTTGGAGGGCCATGTTAACGTTTTTCGAGCAAGGTTGGCCAGCGAAAAAAGCGGCCAGGGATGGACCGAGGAGGCAAGGATACAAGGTTACCCTTGGGAAGGTTGCCCATCCTTGCTATGTGAATTGACTGCACTCCCCGGACCTCTCCCAGGGTCCCTTCTGACCAATATTTCGAAGTGGATCCAGCGATGAAGGCCCAGAAAGGCGCAAACAAAGGAGAGGTAGCGGCATGGGCACCTCTTCCTCCTCTGAGCTCCGGCGCCCTGGCATGCGCGGCGGCGTGGAGGGTCCGCAGCCGGCCACTGCTGGAGCGGCGGCCCCGAGGGCCCGCGTGGCAGCCAGCAGCACCGCGTGCGCGGCGGCCAGCTGCGCTCGGCCCGCGGTGGCGGCAGGGGCGCCTCTGGGGGGGCCCAGGCTGCCGGGGGCCCGCGCCATGGCCTCGCCCCCGCAGGGCGCGCGGCCGCTGCAGCCGGCTTGATCAGCAGATGGCCGCAGCCTGACGACCGGGAGGGGGGCTCGGAGTCTCGTGCTCTCGGAGATCCTGGCGCCCCAATCTTTTCGAACCGGGGCCTGTCGCCCAATTTTTCCCCCTCGCCCCTCACAGATCGATCCGGCCCGAAAGATATAGCAGAGGGATGGGTCTATAGAGGGTTCCCGTCGTGACTTTTCACGATTATTCCATTTGTTCGCGAGGTCATTTGTCAGGGTCACCCTCTCCCTGCTGGTACCACGAGTTCTCGACCAGCTTTGCTCCCTCGGACTCTGCCCACGCCTCAGGAGAAGGGGCCACCTGCCCAGCAGCCGCGCAAAGGAAGGAGAGGTAAGAGCGCGCCCGCAGCGCCGGGAATAAGGAAAGGGGGGGCCCCAGCTTCAAGCTCGTCTCTTCTCCTCGCCCTCCTGCGCTCCCTCCACATCCTCCCTTCGTTCTCGTCCCCTCCCCCCCGCCACCGCGCCCGCCTCCCCACCCTCCCCTCTCTCCCGCCCACCGAAGCAATTGCTGGCTCAAGCGGGCAAGCTCACGGGAGGCTCTCGTTCGGCGCGCACTCCGCGGCGGGGCTTGCGGTCGCGCGCGAGAGGCCATGGATGCCCCCGAAAGGGGACAGATGCTGGGCTGCGGCCAACGCTCGGGCCCTGCTGGGCAGCCGAGAGTGGCCGCGTTGGCCCATCGGAGGAGGAAGACCTTGAGGGCCTCGCTGATGGCGCATTGGCGCCTCGGAGACGTGGTCGGCTGCCACTTGCCCTTCACGGGGGCCGCGGTGGCGGCGGCCCGTATCCTGGGCTTCACGGACCAGGACATCGACGAGGCGGAGGAGCTGCTGGCCCTAGGCAACGCGGTGCGCCATGCGCCCCCTTCAAGGGCAGCGGGAGGACTGGCGCCGCAGCCTGCGTGCGTCAGTGCTGCTGAGCTCGAGGCGTGGCTGGCGGCCAAGAGCCCTTCTGTTCGCGCCGAGGCCGCCGAGTTCGTCCCCTGGGCTCCTGGGGACTGGAACGGCCGCGTGAAGGAGTTCGAGGAGGGCAAACTCCCGCCGCCGAGTCCCTCGGGTTCGGCGAGAGCAGAGCGGGATGGGTGGAAAGTCTTCGAGGTCGCTTCCCAGTCCTCCGGGTCTGGCAAGGTTGGAGCGGGAAGGACGGCGAAGTTCTCCAGGCTCGCCATCATGTCCTTCGAGCTCGGCGTGTGCGGAGCTAGACGGGGGATCAGTGTCTTCGAGTCTGGAGGTCGGCGAACGCACACGAGGAGCAGTTTCCCGAGGGCACGGCCGACTTTGAGAGGCTCGACGGGCAGCAGCGGCGCATGGCGAACCTCGTGATCGAGGCGAAGAGGCCCACGTCTGAGATCATCGACGCGATCTGGGACGGTCTGTACCCAGTGTGCCTATCGTTGCGGCTCCACCCGTGCAAGGCGCCTCTATCGCGGCAGGATGGCGATGATGTCTTCCCTTGCGAGCTGTGCTACGACGGCGTAGCGCACGGCGCCGCGAGGGTCTTGTGTGAGAGCTGCCCGAGCGCGGTCCACAAGGACTTCTTGCAGGAGCAGCTCGACCAGGGGAACAAAAAGTGACATAAACATGACAACTCGGAGGTCCGCGCGGATTCCTAGGATCGGCGCTGGGGCCCCCCGGCGGCGCCTCCAGCACCGCCCCTGGCGCGCTCCGCGCGCCAGGGAGGGGGGTCCAGTTCCGATCCGAGAATCCGCGCGGACCTCCGTGTTTTTATGTTTATGTCACTTGTTGCTCCCCTATCGACTGGATCAGGGGAATTCGGCGCCCGACGAGCTCTGCGCGAGTCTCGCAGCGGGGCGATGCTAGACTTATGTTGTTCCCGTCCTACTTAAGGACCACATCCCAGAAATAATTTCGAGCACCAGGAAAAGTGTCAAAAGAGTCTCGAAACAGTGTCCAAACAGTGTCGGGCGAGTGTCTCCCAGGGCCCGACATGTGAAAACCCTTGAGTTCCGGTACTTTTTGGGGGCACTCGAAATTCTTCCTGGTGATCAATGCTAAAGTAGGCTGGAGCATCATAATGCTAGACCTCCTCTGGTGGTGCTGTTGGCTCGGGGTTCCCCGTACCCCCACCCCCCGCCTCTCGGCGGTGCCTCGGCCCGGCGCTCGCCGCCAGTGTGCCGAGGGAATTGGCATAGGTTCGGGGCTCCCCCTGAAGTAGAGGAAGAAAACACATCATAGGCATAAACTGCAGACACTCCGCGCGGACTTCTTGGATCTGCGCTGGACCCCCCTCCCTGGCGCGCGGAGCGCGCCACGGGCGGCGCCGGAGGCGCCGCCAGGGAGGCACAGCGCAGATCCAAGAAATCCCAGCAGAACGTCGAAAGTTTATATTCATGCTGTTTGTTTTTCCTCTAGTCCAGGGGGAGCCCCGAACCTATGCCAACACCTCGGCAAATCGGCAGTGAGCGCTGGGCCGAGGCACCGCCGAGACGCGGGATGGGGGACGAGGAACCCCGAGCCAACAGCACCACCAGAGGAACGTCGAACATTTATTTTTATGCCCTGTTTTCTCCTTCGATGACCCCCCCCGCGCCTCTCGGCGGCGCCACTGTCCAGCACTCACACCGCGGGTGCGCCGCGGTAGCGACGGCCGCTCCCCCGTGAGCGGTCGAGCGGCCGTCGTGCGGCGCGTGCGAGTGTCCCACCAACCGTGGTTGGCAGATGCTTCGCTTGCTTGTTATTTCCCCCTCCTTCTTCTCCCCAACAAATTAGAAGCCTCCCAGATGGGGTCCGAGTAGATGGGGTCGAAAGATCGCGCCGCATCGCCGATGCATCGTCGATGCACTGGCGATGCATCGTCGACGTCGGCGATGCATCGGCGCCGTCGGCGTATAGAAAATCGGGCTCTGCATCGAGCCGCATCGCCGATGCATCGACGATACCGGGTGATCCTCCGACCCCATCTACTCTGAGCCGATCTGGAATGCATAGAAAAATTGAGCGGAAACCAACAATGTTGTTAGAATGTGTATCAGAAAATATCCTCACCCTCACCCCGGGTCCCGAACGCCGGGGCCCGGGGCCGATTAACATTTCTCCAGGGCCACCCCGTGGGGGCCCCCGGTGGGCCTCACGAACGGCACCCGAGGAGCGCTACGACGGCGAAAGACGGTCCGCTTCCTCGGGCACCCGCTTCCTCCTGATCCATCCCGCACAGACATCCGCTTCAACGCGGGGCCCCCCACATTCCCGACCCCTTCCTGAGATGTACATCCTGCACTCCCCCGCCCCGCTGTTTCTCCCCAGACATCCGCTTCCATGCGGGGCCCCCCGGCATTCCCGACCCCTTCCTGATCCATCATGCACGCCCACGCCTCACTGTTTCTCCCCAGACATCCGCTTCCACTCGGCCCCCCCCCCCCGCTCCCGACCCCTGCCCCGGGGCCGGCCTCTCGTGCCGGGCCGCTCTTGCTCGGCAGGGGCCGAGCCCATGGAAGAGAACCCCTGGCCGGGCCCGCCTCCATGCGCTGGATGTCTGCTGCGACGACGTCGACGACGAGAAGACGCCGAGGCCGGGGGCGCGCTTCGCCTCGCTGCCTCGGCGCGAGGCGCGCCTGCTGGCCTCGCCGTCGCGCTCCTTCGAGCTGCCACGGCTCGCCGCCTCCCGGAGGCCGAGGCCGGTCGACGTCGCCGTCGTGGCCACCGCCGTCGCTGTTGCCGCCGTCGCCGCCGCCGTCGCTGCCGCCGCCGTCGCCGCGCCGCAGCGGCGGCGGCGGCGACGAGCGCGACGACGACGACGACGACGCCGACGGCGGCGACGAGGTGTGCGAGAGAGGGGGGCGGGGGAGGAGGGGGGGAAGGAGGCGGAAGAGGGAGGGGGCCCGGCAGTCCCTTCTTTCCAGGAGTGCTATGGTCGAATTGTCTGTTGTTTGACTGACGAGGGCCCCGCCCAGTCTGCCACCACGACACGCCGTTCTGATGCTCAGGCGCTGTCCCGCGAACGCGGCCGAAATCCAGGAGTCTGTCCCAGAAGCGTGGCCAACATGTACAGGCGCAGAATGTTGTTTGTCTTTTGCGTGGCCAGCGAACGTGGATGAGGATGGAGGAGACGGGAGCAGGAAAGACACGGAGAGATCGTGAGGACACCAGCAACGATGGCTACAAGGAAAGACTAACACCACCATTGCTGTTGTGGGCGCGACCTCTGCTCGAGTCTCATCTCCTAACTGCCCAGCGCCGCCGTGCTTTCGCCCCGCCCTCCACTGCCACAAGCTCCCACGGGGCACCCACGTCGTGATCGCGCAGAGCGAAGAAAATGTAGGCAGCAGGAGGGAGAATGGGGAGAAGGATGGAAGATGGAGGAGGGGCAGGAGGAGGGCGTAGAGTGCGGGGAGAAACGGGGGGAGGGAGAATTCGCACTTTCCTCCTCCTCCTCCTCCTCCTCCACCTCCTCCTCCTCCTCCCCCTCCCCCTCGCCCTCCTCCTCCTCCTGCTGCTCCTCCTCGTCCTCCTCCTCCTCCTTCTCTTCCTCCCCCGAACTGCAACACTACCCCTTCCTTTCCCCCCCCACTACAACTACCTTACCTCCTCATTCCCTTGTCTTCCCTCATTATCCCCTCCCAGAACTTCCAGGAACTCCAACAATTAGCCAAAATGCAACATTCCCACAACAACAAAACACGAAAACCATTCTTCCCTCATTCGGATAGCCGGCATTCCGACCCAGCTAGCCCTGGTGTCTCCAGTGTGGGCTTTGGGGGTGGACCATCCAAGCTTTTGACAACTCGGGGGCACAGTGCTCCTGACTGCGCACGCCGATCTGCATCTATGCAGCTTGAGGTCGGACTAGAATCACATGGTGAGCGACAGACCCATCGACCCTCCCTCCCCGTCCACCCTCCCACTAATCCCCTCCCCGCCTGTCTACTCCTCGTCCTCCTCCTCCTCCTCCTCCTTTTCTTCCCTCTCCCTTCCCAAACACTATATTCCCCGGACCTCTCGCAATTTACCATTTCCCCTTCCCGCCGTCTTCCTCTCCCTCGTCGCCGCTCCCCTCCCCTCGTTGCCTCGAACACCCCAGGAACTCCACAACCGCCTGACCCCACCCAACACTCTCCGATAGCTTCGATAAACCCTCCTCCTCCTCCTCCTCCTCCTCCTTCTCCTCCTCCTCCTCCTCCTCCTCCTCCTTCTGCCCGTTTGCCTCCGCATCAGGTCCCCCCTCCACCTCCTCATCCTTGTCCCTCCTGCCTCGGCCGACAAGAGCGAAGTTGCGACCCCTCCGGGCGTACAAGACCCACCCGCACAGCAGCGAAGTTCTCCTCTCCCTTCCCCTCCCTCCTCCATGCTCCCTCGTCCTCTCATCCCCCACTCCCTCACACCTCCCACCCCCGAGCGCGAGGTGGGAGCTGACTACTGGGACACAAAAGTGCATACGAGTACTACGCGCCTCCCTGGGAAACGCACGTCCGAATCGAACCGATGACTATGTTTGGGCGATGCCGAGCTCAAGGGAAGAACATCGGCCTGGCATCGACGGCGCGTCGCCGACAGATCAACGACAATTTCCCCCGACATTGAAACGGTACGCTCCTGGGCAGGGCAAGACGCGCGAACCTTGGTCGGCGATGGAAGCGATAGATTTGGGGGCCGATGCTCCTCGACTTGTTTCAAGACGAAGCCAGGAAGACAATACGGTCGAGAACTTTTGGGTAGCGTGTCGCCGCGGCGGCCCTGGCGACACGCTGTGCCCTGCGAGCGGAAAGCGTGTCGTTCCGCTCCGCGGGGCGGGAAGCTCAACAAAATCATTGACGCTGCGGGGGCAGGAAGTGGGCCGCACCGATGCATGATGGGCCAAAACTGGCGGAGCGCACATCATAGCACGCCGCGCGTGCCTAACATTTTCCCCTCCTTGGGCCAGTCACCCCCGTGGTTTTTTTTGCGGATTCATCGGGCCCCCGCTCCGACACCCAGGAGATGCGCGCGTGCCTCCGAAACCTGTTTCCCGCCCGTGAGGGTGCTGTAGCCTGCTTTGCTGGGATTCCTCCTCCTCCTTTTCCTCCTCCTCCTCCTCCTCCTCCTCCTCCACCTCCTCCTCCTCCTCCCAACCCCAGAAAGGACCTCTGTGGTCACTCACCTGGCGTAGCCTGGACAGGTGGACAGGTGGTCAGGTGGTAAGGTGGCAAATTCACCACGCGGATCCAAGCGTTGAAGATCTCGGCCGCACTGGTTGGAACGCCCTTGCAGCAAATCTTCTCTCGGTGCGCCCACGTACACTTACTGCAAATGTGGCGCTTCCGATGAAAGTTGTCGATGGCCCCGTACTTTACTGAGGCGAAAGCCTCTGGCTCGTGGATCAAAGCAGACCTCTCGAAGCGGCACATGTCGTCGTGGATCAGGAGGTCGGCGCTTACTTTCTCGACCCCCATCACCGCCGTGAGCAACGTGATCTTGTCCGTCGTGCACTCGTTCTCATTGTGTTCCATGGCTCCGAGAATTCGCATTGTAGCAGGGTCGAGGGCGAACTGCCACCCGCCCGTGTGGCCAGGCAACGTCCGCCGGATCTTGTCCTTGGCAGCGCACGTGGCCGTGCTCTCCTCGTCCTTGTAGTAAAACAATTTCTTCTTGGATTTCGCCTTGACAACGCTCTTCGCGGCTTTCGAGCCCGACCTCTTGCCGTTCGGTTTCTTCGCGGTCTTCTTCCTGATCTTCCCAGGGGCGCGGCGCAGGCCGTCGACGACAAGGTCCAGGGCACGGCTCAGCCCGAACAAATCGTCGAAGCAGATCGACTTGCACTCTGTGGGTGGAGGGAACAGCAGCGGGCTCCTGTCCTTGGCGAAGACGCCAGCCGGGAAGTTGACGTCGAACTGCACCACGTCATCGGGCGTTCGCTACGCCAGGGCGAAGCCTTCAAGCGCATGGAGGAGGTTATCCCTCATATTGTGTTTGCTCTTTGACGCTAAATCCTTCCCGTGATACATCTGAAGGACGTCCGCCTCCTCCCCAGGCGCCAATCGGCCGCGCATCAGGCGCAGGTATTGGAGTTCCAAGTGCGACATAGTAAACCCGAGCTTGTTGGTCACAAAATAAGTCCCTGCTTCTTCATCTGGTTGAACGTGAGGGTGTTCAATTTCTTCTTGGGGCCGTGCCACGCGAAGTTCGTGCGGCAAACGACCCTGCACCGACGCCGCCCGCACTGCGTGTGGATTGTCTTCGCATCGGTGATGATGTCCGAACCGGCTACCGATGCAACGACGCATTTCTGCCCGTGCCTTTTAAACGTCCTCGCTGCGTTGTGCAAGCACGTCTTGATTAGCGCATGAATCGTCTTAGCCATGGTGGTTCGGAGGGCTTGATTTCGGCAGCAGGTGGTTGGCGAGTCTTGAGCCAAAGGCGGCGGAGGGGAATGAGGAAGAGGGGACACGAGAAAGACGAGGAGGAGACGAACGACGCAAAAATCCATGCCCAAGTAAGCTGTTCTACGACGTCCCTGTTTACCACATCTGCAAGGGGGTCTATAGGACGAGCCAGAATCGAAACAAATCAGCAAGGACGTAAGCCTCTGTGGGCCTGCGGAGGGAAGAGGATGAGGACGAAAGAGGAGGAGGAGACGGCAGAGGAGAGAGGAGGGGGAGGAAGGAGGAGGAGGAGGAGGAGGAGGGAGGAGGAGGAGGAGGAGTAGGAGGAGGAGGAGGAGGAGGAGGAGGAGGAGGAGAGGAGGGAGGAGGAGGAGGAGTAGAGGAGGAGGAGGAGGAGGAGGGGGGAGAGGGGGGGAGGATAGGAACAGGAAGAGGAGGAAGTGGCAAGACGATGGGGGCTCGAAAATCCATACCCAAGTAAGCTGTTCTACGACGTCCCTGTTTAGCGCGTCTGCACGGGGGGGTGTAGGAGGGGCCAGGATCGGAAGGAACAGCAAGGACGTAAGCCACCGTGGGCCTGAGAAGGGAAGACGAGGATAAGGAGGAAAGCAGAGGACGAGACGGTAAAGGGGAGAGGGGGGGAGGAGGAGAAGGAAAAGGAGGAGGAGGAGAAAGAGGAGGAAGAGGAGGAGGAGGAGGGAGGAAAGAGGAGGAGCAAGCGGAGGAGGAGCAGGAGGAGGACGGAGGAGGGGGAGGGGGGAGAGAGAAGGAGAAAGATAATGAGGATAAGGGGAAGAGGAAGAGTAACAGGAGGAGGAGGAAGTGGCAAGACGAGGGGGACTTGACAATCCATGCCCAAATAAGCTGTTCTACGACGTCCTTGTTTAGCACGTCTGCAAAAGGGTATGGAGGACGAGCCAAGACCGGAAGAGGAAGCGAAAGACGTAAGCCATCGTGGGCCTGGTGGGGTGGTGGGGGGAAGACGAGGAGGAGGACACAGGGGCAAGAGATGGTACAGGATAGAGGAAGAAGGGGGAGGAGGAGGCAAAGGAGGAGGAAGAGCAAGAGGTGGAGGAGGAGGGAACAGAGAGGGAAAGGAAGAGGAGGAAGTGGCAGGACGAGGGGGACTTGAAAACCCATGCCCAAGTAAGCTGTTCTACGACGTCCCTGTTTAGCACGTCTGCAAATGGGTCTATAAAGCGAGCGAAGATCGGAAGAGGAAGCGAAGGACGTAGCCACCGTGGGCCTGAGGAGAGAAGACGAGACGGAGGACAGAGGAGGAAGAGACGGCACAGGAAAGAGG